TCTCTCCAGATGTGTTACTAGGTTTTTTCTCACAATCTTCTCCATCACCTTGCATGGTATACAAGTTAAGGACACTGGCCTGTAGTTCAGTACCTCTTGTCTGTCACCCTTTTTGTATATTGGTACTACATTAGCAGTCTTCCATATTTCTGGTAGGTCCCCCGTTTCCAGTGACCTACTATACACTATGGAGAGTGGTAGGCAAAGTGCTCCTGCACACTCTTTCAAGACCCATGGTGAGATTCCATCCGGCCCAACAGCTTTTCTCACATCCAGCTCCAATAGGTGCTTCTTGACCTCATCTCTTGTAATTTCGAACCTATCCAAGGTCACCTAGTTTGCTGCCACCTCTTCTAGCGCCGCATGTGTGTGTGTGTGTGTGTGTGTGTGTGTGTGTGTGTGTGTGTGTGTGTGTGTGTGTGAGTGGGGGGGAAAAACAGTAGTAGTAGTAGAAACAGTTGATTGACAGTTGAGAGGAGGGCCGAAAGAGCTGAGTTCAATCCCCGCAAGCACAACTAGGTGAATACACACACACACACACAGGAAGCAGCTCCGTAATAGCTGTTTAACTCCCAGGTACCTATTTACTGCTAGGTAACAGAGGCATTAGGGTTAAACAAACTTTGCCCATTTGCTTCTGCCTGGGCCGGGAATCGAACCCGGGCCACAGAATTACGAGTCCTGCGCGCTGTCCACTCAGCTACCAGAATCCCTGTGTACTCACCTAATTGTACTTACCTAATTGTGCTTGCGGGGGTTGAGCTTTGGCTCTTTGGTCCTGCCTCTCAACCGTCAATCAACTGATGTACAGATTCGTGAGCCTACTGGGCCCTATCATATCTACATTTAAAACTGTGTATGGAGTCAGCCTCCACCACATCACTGCCTAATGCATTCCACCTATTAACTACTCTGACACTGAAAAAGTTCTTTCTAACGTCACTGTGGCTCATTTGGGTACTCAGTTTCCACCTGTGTCCCCTTGTTCGCGTACCACCGGGGTTGAATAGTTTATCCTTGTCTACCCTGTTAATACCCTGAGGATTTTGTAGGAAGTGATCATGTCTCCCCTTACTCTTCTCTCTTCCAGTGTCGTAAGGTGCATCTCTCGCAGCCTTTCCTCATAACTCATGCCCCTTAACTCCGGGACTAGTCTAGTGGCATACCTCTGAACTTTTTCCAGCTTCGTCATGTGCTTGACAAGGTACGGGCTCCATGCTGGGGCTGCATACTCCAAGATTGGTCTTATATATGTGGTATACAAGATTCTGAATAATTCCTTACACAGGTTCCTGAAGGCTGTTCTGATGTTAGTCAGTCTCGCATATGCCGCAGACGTAATTCTTTTTATGTGGGCTTCAGGAGACAGGTTTGGTGTGATATCAATTCCTAGATCTTTCTCTCTGTCCGTTTCCTGAAGTACTTCATCTTCCATTCTGTATCCTGTGTCTGGCCTTTTGTTTCCGCCGCCTAGTTTCATTACTTTGCATTTACTTAGGTTGAACTTGACCAGCCAATTGTTGGACCATTCATTCAATCTGTCTAGCTCATCTTGTAGCCTCCTACTATCCTCCTGTGTGTGTATGTGTGTATGTGTGTATGTGTGTATGTGTGTTTGTGTGTGTGTGTGTGTGTGTGTGTGTGTGTGTGTGTGTGTGTGTGTGTGTGTGTGTGTGTGTGTGTGTGTGTGTGTGTGTGTGTACTCACCTATATGTGCTTGCAGGATCGAGCATTGACTCTTGGATCCCGCCCACACACACACACACCCGTGTGTGTGTGTGTGTGTTTGTGTGTGTGTGTGTGTGTGCGTACGTGCGAGTGTGTGTGCGTGCGGGCGTGCGCGTCGGGACTCTGAGCCCTCCGCCACACCCCTGATAAAGCAGACATGAGAGAGGTCCTAAATCTTAGCGGTTCGACAATCGTAATGTTTCAATATTCCCGGCGAGGACGTGGGCGACGAGTGGGTAATGTTCCATTGTCGTGGCGGGGAAAATATTGGCCATCTGGGAAGGAAGAAGGTGGAGCGCGCTCTGGTGTCTTTAAAAGAATAGCTTTATTAAGTGAATTTGTCTTGGGGAGTTTTATGTCTTGAAACTCAAGCGCTTGGAATCTTTAACTGTTCAGCAGTTCTTAAGATGCAATGCAGATTCCTGTTTAGACAGTAGTTACAGTATTGATGAGGACCATAGTGCATATACTGACGTAATATACACTTAGAAAGTAGAATTTGGCACTATTGAATATGGACTAACCAGAAAAGGTTTTGTATTTAGGTTCCTAGTGAAACCTAACCTAACCATCCTAGGCTTAATACATACACGCTACCTGAGGACTCTGTCCTCTTACAAAGAACGTCGCATTTCGCTCGTATGCGTTACATAAGGGGCAAAAGTTGTCGTACTAGAAAATGGAAGTGGCTGGCGAAAGTGACGTACTGTCCCGTTTTCTGTTTTGGGTCCTCTGGTAGGTTAGGATAAGGGCACTTCAATGTTTCTATTTTCGTGACAGTGAGAAGCCTTAGGAAGGTTGGGCTGACCTGAAGTGTAATGGTAGCGGGCATCCATCAGTCTCAGAAGACTGTGGAGTCGCGCTCTGGCTGTCGGTCTGGAGTGGTCTCTCCAGGGCTCAAAGCCAGGGTAGGTTGATACGGAGAAGCTGTTACCCATGCAGCAGGTCCCCCCCCCCCTCCACGGCGCCAAGCCTGGGCAGGTCAGGTCAGACCATCCTCCTAAGGTTTCTCAACGTCATGAAAACGGTCAAATTGAAGCGCCCTAATCCTAACCTACCAGACGACCCAAAACAGAAAACACGACAGTACGACTCTTTTTCTTTAATATAGTACATATATGTACTATAGGAATAGATCAAACTGAGCCTAGGAATAGATAACTTTGGGTGTTAGCTATTTTTGAGGATCTATAAAGGTAATATTACCAAACAGGAGGACGGGTTGTGGTATTACATGTTTATTATAGATAATTATTCATAATAATTCACTATAAAAATGCCGATATATTTTCTTGTTTTTGATAGAATTTTTATCGTTCAAATACTATTTTCCATATTGCATCGTTCACATACTATTATTGACACCGATAATTTTCCTGTTTAAACTGAAAAAAAGTCACATTATTTAATTTTCCGTGGAAATACCACCTGATGCTTTCGCATTAAATTGACAAGTTCATTTTTTTAAAGTCACTGATTTCATCTTATTTCCTTATTAGGAAGATATTCCCCCTGGCCAGATGACGTCACGGGACTCGTATTCATATTCAACTCATATTCATATTCGTCGTATTTCGTCATGATCGTCGTTTACCGGGCCTTAGTCGGTGTCTTCAAATTGTAGGAGAGTAAGACAAAGGGCTTGAAGAAAACCCTCACTACCTTGGGAGAGCTTCCTCACAGCCCAGGTGTGAGGGATGGGGGCTACCCCACGGTGCATCCTCACAGCCCAGGTGTGAGGGATGAGGGCTACCCCACGCTGCTTCCTCACAGCCCAGGTGTGAGGGATGAGGGCTACCCAATGCTGCTTCCTCACAGCCCTGGTGTTAGGAATAAGGGCTACCCAATGCTGCTTCCTCACAGCCCTGGTGTGAGGGATGAGGACTACCCCATGCTGCATCCTCACAGCCCTGGTGTGAGGGATGCGGGCTACTCCACGCTGCTACCTCACAGCCCTGGTGTGAGGGATGCGGGCTACTCCACGCTGCTACCTCACAGCCCTGGTGTGAGGGATGAGGGCTACCCCATGCTGCTACCTCACAGCCCTGGTATGAGGGATGCGGGCTACTCCACGCTGCTACCTCACAGCCCTGGTATGAGGGATGAGGGCTACCCCACGCTGCTATCTCACAGCCCTGGTGTGAGGGATGAGGGCTACCCCATGCTGCTATCTCACAGCCCTGGTGTGAGGGATGAGGGCTACCCCATGCTGCTATCTCACAGCCCTGGTGTGAGGGATGAGGGCTACCCCACGCTGCTACCTCACAGCCCAGGTGTGAGGGATGAGGGCTACCCCACGCTGCTACCTCACAGCCCAGGTGTGAGGGATGAGGGCTACCCAATGCTGCTTCCTCACAGCCCAGGTGTGAGGGATGAGGGCTACCCAATGCTGCTTCCTCACAGCCCTGGTGTGAGGGATGAGGACTACCCCATGCTGCATCCTCACAGCCTTGGTGTGAGGGATGAGGGCTACCCCACGCTGCTACCTCACAGCCCTAGTATGAGGGATGAGGGCTACCCCATGCTGCTACCTCACAGCCCTGGTGTGAGGTGTGTGGAGTGAGGGAGACAACTTGGTGGGTACCAGTCCTTTGTAAGTGTAAACGTACTCTTTTGGAGGTCATAAAATGATATAAATATCTCTATATCACTACACTCTCGGTATCCGATATGTTTGATTAATAATTTTGGTAATACTTGTCTTGTGAGTCAAGCCGCCATCAAAGCACACTTGCTTATGATAATTGGAGACTACCTGGCGTTATATACGTAGATGATATCTTCTTCACCAGGAAGAAGAGGATAACAGGTGGCCTATTTTAATAAGTGGGGGATGAAGTAGGTCATTGTAACATCCTTCTCGTTCAGTATTAAAGCAACATTCGTCTCGGTAGCAGGGTACTGTAGACAGAAGGGTACTGTAGACAGAAGGGTACTGTAGACAGAAGGGTACTGTAGACAGAAGGGTACTGTAGACAGAAGGGTACTGTAGACAGAAGGGTACTGAAGACAGCTGGATACTAAAGACAGAAGGATACTGTAGACAGAAGGGTACTGAAGACAGCTGGATACTAAAGACAGAAGGGTACTGTAGACAGAAGGGTACTGAAGACAGAAGGATACTGAAGACAGAAGGGTACTGAAGACAGAAGGGTACTGTAGACTGAAGGGTACTGTAGACAGAAGGGTACAGTAGACCGAAGGGTACTGTAGACAGAAGGGTACTGTAGACAGAAGGGTGCTGTAGACAGAAGGGTACTGTGCCATCCTACCGTGTTAGACGGGAAGGGGCGAAGGAGGCTGGGTTGTCTTGGTCGCTGAAGACAGGTGACGTCCCTCGCAGCATCCATAGACGGAACAGCAAGATGGCCGCCCCCTGTGTCACCAGGCAAATACAGTTCAATGTTATATACATGCTCCCATATGTAGACAAGACACACAGACAGATAAACGGCTGGACGGACATACATACTGAGAAGACAGACACTCAGACAAAACAACACATATACCCAATGACATTTTAATGTGAAAATCAACCATCCTCAAAGAAGCTTGAAAGCAACACGATAATAGTTAAATAGCTACATTTAGGCTCCTCACGTAACGTAAGGTATAAAAAGGTTACATTTTGCCCAAGCTAAGATTATCGAGTCGTCAGAAGAGTCATAACACCACGTAATGGAGGCAGGGACCGTGGTACAGGCACTATGGGCGAGGAGGTACAGGCACTAGGGGCGAGGGGGTACAGGTACTAGGGGCGAGGGGGTACAGGCACTAGGGGCGAGGGGGTACATGCACTAGGGGCGAGGAGGTACAGGCACTAGGGGCGAGGGGGTACAGGTACTAGGGGCGAGGGGGTACAGGCACTAGGGGCGAGGGGGTACATGTACTAGGGGCGAGGGGGAACAGGCACTAGGGGCGAGGGGGTAAAGGCACTAGGGGCGAGGGGGTACAGGCACTAGGGGCGAGGGGGTAAAGGCACTAGAGGCGAGGGGGTACAGGCACTAGGGGCGAGGGGGTACAGGCACTAGGGGCGAGGGGGGAACAGGCACTAGGGGCGAGTGGGTACAGATACTAGGGGCGAGGGGGTACGGGCACTAGGAGCGAGGGGGTACGGGCACTAGGGGCGAGGGGGTACAGGCACTAGGGGCGAGGGGGTACAGGCACTAGGGGCGAGGGGGTACATGCACTAGGGGCGAGGGGGTACAGGCACTAGGGGCGAGGGGGGTACAGGCACTAGGGGCGAGTGGGTACAGATACTAGGGGCGAGGGGGTACGGGCACTAGGGGCGAGGGGGTACGGGCACTAGGGGCGAGGGGGTACGGGCACTAGGGGCGAGGGGGTACAGGCACTAGGGGCGAGGGGGTACAGGCACTAGGGGCGAGGGGGGTACAGATACTAGGGGCGAGGATGGGGGGGGGCATAAATCTCCCACAAGATTCTAATGAGAGTCTCTCAAGTTTTATGGGCATTTTACAGTGCACTCGCTTGTCACATTAAAAAGTTTGTCACATTGTGAGGGGTGTAAAAAGGATGATAAAGAGGGAGTTAGTGAGAGTTAGTGATATAAGTTGGTGGCGACTTTTGCTACCTTAGTCCAGGACTATTCTGCATGTAAGACCAGTAGTGCAAGCCCGTGGCTACGTGGTTCCACATGAGGAGGGCGTAGCCTGAAGTCTCTCTTATCCTTAACTCCGTGTTGGGACTCTCACATCTGTGCTTCCATTGTTATCTCATTAACCCCTTTGCTTCGTAGAGCTTCCTTGTCCACTTTGTGTACATCTCTGGTCAACTCTTATGCTAAGTTCAACTCTCATTTTGATAGCTACTGCAATGGCAATTTGTCTAGGCCTCTCCTCATATGTTTTCATTGTCCTTATTTGTGTGTGTGTTAGGGGCGGGGCGGTGTGTGTTGAGTCCTGCAGATGCCATCAGTTTATAGTGTAGTGAAAACCGTGTTCTGGACATGGAATGATTTGTGAATGAGGTTCAGCGTAGCTGGGGTGGTGAGGTCTCTGTATCCTCTCTCTCTCTCTCTCTCTCTCTCTCTCTCTCTCTCTCTCTCTCTCTCTCTCTCTCTCTCTCTCTCTCTCTCTCTCTCTCTCTCTCTCTCTCTCTCTCTCTCTCTCTCTCTCTCTCTCTCTCTCTCTCTCTCTCTCAGTCTCTGTCTCTGTCTCTGTCTCTGTCTCTCTCTCTCTCTCTCTCTCTCTCTCTCTCTCTCTCTCTCTCTCTCTCTCTCTCTCTCTCTCTCTCAGTCTCTGTCTGTCTGTCTGTCTGTCTGTCTGTCTGTCTGTCTGTCTGTCTGTCTGTCTGTCTCTCTCTCTCTCTCTCTCTCTCTCTCTCTCTCTCTCTCTCTCTCTCTCTCTCTCTCTCTCTCTCTCAGTCTCAGTCTCAGTCTCAGTCTCAGTCTCTGTCTCTGTCTCTGTCTCTGTCTCTGTCTCTGTCTCTCTCTCTCTCTCTCTCTCTCTCTCTCTCTCTCTCTCTCTCTCTCTCTCTCTCTCTCTCTCTCTCTCTCTCTCTCTCTCTCTCTCTCTCGCTCTCCCCCCCCTCCCAGCCTCCCCAGGCTCCTCACTCTGGAGGAGGTAATTCTATCAGGGTGTACAGGTTGGAGGCGTCACCGAGGCCAGGTGACGAGGCTGCCAGATCTCATCTCCCGCACCTGTTTACCCATATGTTGCAGTCCTTCACCCTTCCTGCCTCTCCCAGGATCTCCCAGCCTCTCCCAGCCTCTCCCAGCCTTTCCCAGTCTCCCCCAGCCCCTCCCAGCCTCTCCCAGCCTCTCCCAGCTCCTCCCAGCCTCTCCCAGCTCCTCCCAGCCTCTCCCAGCCTCTCCCAGCCTCTCCCAGCCTCTCCCAGCCTCTTCCAGCTTCTCCCAGCTTCTCCCAGCCTCTACCAGCCTCTCCCAGTCTCTCCCAGCCTCTCCCAGTCTCTCCCAGTCTCTCCCAGCCTCTCCCAGCCTCTCCCAGCCTCTCCCAACTTCTCCCAGCCTCTCCCAGCCTCTCCCAGCCTCTCCCAGCCTCTCCCAGCCTCTCCCAACTTCTCCCAGCCTCTCCCAGCCTCTCCCAGCCTCTTCCAGCCTCTCCCAGCCTCTCCCAGTCTCTCACAGCCTCTCCCAACTTCTCCCAGCCTCTCCCAGCCTCTCCCAGCCTCTCCCAGTCTCTCCCAGCCTCTCCCAGCTTCTCCCAGCCTCTCCCAGCCTCTCCCAGCTTCTCCCAGCCTCTCCCAGCCTCTCCCAACTTCTCCCAGCCTCTCCCAGCCTCTCCCAGCCTCTCCCAGCTTCTCCCAGCCTCTCCCAGTCTCTCCCAGCCTCTCCCAACTTCTCCCAGCCTCTCCCAGCCTCTTCCAGTCTCTCCCAGCCTCTCCCAGTCTCTTCCAGCCTCTCCCAGCCTCTCCCAGCCTCTCCCAACTTCTCCCAGCCTCTCCCAGCCTCTCCCAGCCTCTCCCAGCCTCTCCCAGCCTCTCCCAGTCTCTCCCAGCCTCTCCCAGCTTCTCCCAGCTTCTCCCAGCTTCTCCTAGCCTCTCCCAGCTTCTCCCAGCCTCTCCTAGCCTCTCCCAGCTTCTCCCAGCTTCTCCCAGCCTCTCCTAGCCTCTCCCAGCTTCTCCCAGCTTCTCCCAGCTTCTACCAGCCTCTCCCAGTCTCTCCCAGCCTCTCCCAGCCCCTCCCAGCCTCTCCCAGCCTCTCCCAACTTCTCCCAGCCTCTCCCAGCCTCTCCCAGCCTCTCCCAGCCTCTCCCAGCCTCTCCCAACTTCTCCCAGCCTCTCCCAGCCTCTTCCAGCCTCTCCCAGCCTCTCCCAGCCTCTCCCAGTCTCTCCCAGTCTCTCCCAGCCTCTCCCAGCCTCTCCCAGCCTCTCCCAGCCTCTCCCAGACTCTCCCAGCCTCTCCCAGCCTCTCCCAGCCTCTCCCAGCCTCTCCCAACTTCTCCCAGCCTCTCCCAGCCTCTCCCAGCCTCTCCCAGTCTCTCCCAGCCTCTCCCAGCTTCTCCCAGCCTCTCCCAGCCTCTCCCAGCCTCCCCCAACTTCTCCCAACCTCTCCCAGCCTCTCCCAGCCTCTTCCAGCCTTTCCCAATCTCTCCCAGCCTCTCCCAACTTCTCCCAGCCTCTCCCAGCCTCTTCCAGTCTCTCCCAGCCTCTCCCAGTCTCTTCCAGCCTCTTCCAGCCTCTCCCAGCCTCTCCCAACTTCTCCCAGCCTCTCCCAGCCTCTCCCAGCCTCTCCCAGTCTCTCCCAGCCTCTCCCAGCTTCTCCCAGCTTCTCCTAGCCTCTCCCAGCTTCTCCCAGCCTCTCCTAGCCTCTCCCAGCTTCTCCCAGCCTCTCCTAGCCTCTCCCAGCTTCTACCAGCCTCTCCCAGTCTCTCCCAGCCTCTCCCAGTCTCTCTCAGCCTCTCCCAGCCTCTCCCAGTCTCTCCCAGTCTCTCCCAGTCTCTCCCAGCCTCTCCCAGCCCCTCCCAGCCTCTCCCAGCCTCTCCCAGCTCCTCCCAGCCTCTCCCAGTCTCTCCCAGTCTCTCCCAGCCTCTCCCAGCTTCTCCCAGCCCCTCCCAGCCTCTCCCAGCCCCTCCCAGCCTCTCCCAGCCTCTCCCAGTCTCTCCCAGCCTCTCCCAGCCCCTCCCAGCCTCTCCCAGCCTCTCCCAGCCTCTCCCAGTCTCTCCCAGCTTCTCCCAGCCTCTCCCAGCTTCTCCCAGCCCCTCCCAGCCTCTCCCAGTCTCTTCCAGCCTCTCCCAGTCTCTCCCAGCCTCTCCCAGCCTCTTCCTCTTTCCCCTCTTACACTTAGCAATAATAATTTTGTATGTCATTTTATCATTTCTCTTTCCTACACTTTGTACAGCATTTTGTACCTATTGTTAGCGATCAGTTCTCATCCTGCTTCTGCTATTTTCTGTTTCTCTGCTTTTTAAACGTTATTTTACTTCCGCTTCTTATAATTCCACTTTTCATTCCCTCTTATTCCTGCCCAACCACTTGGGCTGGACGGTAGAGTGACGATCTCGCTTCATGCAGGTCGGTGTTCAATCCCCGAGCGTCCAAGTGGTTGGGCACCACTTCTCCCCGTCTCATCCCAAATCCTTATTATCCTGACCCCCTTCCAAGTGCTATATAGTCGTTGTGGCTTGGCTCTTTCACCTAATCATTCCCTTCCCTTCCCTCTTATTCCACTCTTCCAGTTGATCTACGTCTCGTATTTTCCTGCTTTCTGTATGGAGCTGTCTTACACTGTACCTCTACTTCTACACTCTCATTCTTCCTCGTTCGGTAATATCTATATCTCTCATCTACTCGTTCTACCTCTCTGTCTCTCTTCCCACTATCCCTTTCTCCCTTTTCCCTTTCTTCCTCTTATTTCCCCTCTTTCCCTCCCCCCTCTCCCCTTCCTCTCACTCCAAACCTACTCTCTCTCTCTCTCTCTCTCTCTCTCTCTCTCTCTCTCACCTCCTCCCCCTCTAACCGTGACTACCATAGCGAAAAAGAACGCGACTCATCAGTTGAGAGCAGTGTTGATCTAGGAGAGGGATACCCAAGCCCAAAGCCCCACACACACAGAGTACCTACTCTAGGCTTCTACCTATTTCCATTGGTGGTGAAGGTTAGTTAAGCACACGCAAGGATTTTTATATATATTTTCTTAATATATTTTCGGTAACTTATATAACAGGCATCGTCCCATCTGGAATATCCTCTCCAGATGGAGAGGATATTCATTCAGGATATAGTAACATTATATGGGTTTATAATCCCATGGGATTATAACATTAACATTATGGGATATAGTCCCATCAGGATATTCAGGATATAGTTACATTAGAGTTCTATATACATATATTTACCTGTGTACCATACACTGTATATAAACACGTTAGTTCTGTATGCGTTTTAATTGGTCACTTACTATAAGGCTTAACCAGAAGAGTCTTCTGAAGAGGGCTGCCAGAGTCCTGCTGCTGCTGCTGTCGCCAGCCCGCCCCTGGAGTAATCTGCAGGATAACAGAGGGTAGAGTCTGTTATTATTTTGTCCCTTTGAATGGAAAAATGCAGTGATTCCCTTGATGGGTAGCATGGAGGAGGATAATGTGGCTTCTTTGGTTAACTCACACACACGCACACGCACACACACACACCATGGACCTATACTGTTTCTGATATATGTAAATGATCTCCCAGAGGGCATAGACTCGTTTCTCTCAATGTTTGCTGATGATGCAAAAATTATGAGGAGGATTGAAACAGAGGATGATAGTAGGAGGCTACAAGATGACGTAGACAGACTGAGTGAATGGTCCAACAAATGGCTGTTGAAGTTCAACCCGAGTAAATGCAAAGTAATGAAACTAGACAGTGGAAACAGGAGGCCAGACACAGGACACAGAATAGGAGATGAAGTACTTAATGAAACGGACAGAGAGAAAGATCTAGGAGTTGATATCACACCAAACCTGTCTCCTGAAGCCCACATAAAGAGAATAACGTCTGCGGCATATGCGAGGCTGGCTAACATCAGAACGGCGTTCAGGAACCTGTGTAAGGAATCATTCAGAAACTTGTACACCACATATGTAAGACCAATCCTGGAGTATGCGGCCCTAGCATGAAGCCTGTACCTTGTCAAGCACAAGACTAAGCTGGAAAAAGTTCAAAGGTATGCCACTAGACTAGTCCCAGAACTAAGAGGCATGAGTTACGAGGAAAGGCTGCGGGAAGTGCACCTTAAGACAATGGAAGACCGATGAGTAAGTAGAGACATGATCACAATCTACAAAATCCTCAGGAGAATCGACCGGGTAAACAAGGATAAACTATTCAACACTGGTGGTACGCGAACAAGGGGACACAGGTGGAAACTGAGTACCCACATGAGCCACAAGGACGTTAGAAGGAACTTTTTCAGTGTCAGAGTAGTTAACGGATGGAATGCCCTAGGCAGTGATGTGGTGGAGGCTGACTCCATACACAGTTTTAAATGTAGATATGATAGAGCCCAGTAGGCTCAGGAATCTGTACACCAGTTGATTGACAGTTGACAGGCGGGACCAAAGAGCCACAGCCCAACCCCCGCAAGCACAAAAGGTGAGTACAAAGAGGTGAGTACACACACACACACACACACACACACACACACACACACACACACACACACACATACACACACACACACACACACACACACACACACACACACAATATCCAACACACATGATTCATGCATAATTCAAGAAGGGAGAGAAGGAGGGAGGGTGAGAAGGAGGGAGGGAGAGAAGGAGGGAGGGAGAGAAGGAGGGAGGGAGAGAAGAAGAGCTGGAAAGAGGGACGAAGGGTGTGAAAAGAGAGAGAGATGATGAGAGGGAGGGAGGAGGAAGAGGTGTCAAAAGGTAGGGAGAAGCAGATGGGTGATGAGAGGCGGACAGAGGGAGAATGAGACGGATGAAGAGAGAGAGAGAGAGGGAGAGACTGAAGGAGAATAGGAGAAGGTGAAGGAGGGAGGAAGAAGGTGAGGGATGAGGCAAGGAAGGAGAGCGGGGGGGGGGGGAGAAGGGATAAGGAGGATAGCCCAAGAGAGACCCAGACAGCCTCCACCACACAACATATAACATACCTGCGGATATGTTTCCTGTGGCGGATTACGTCCCACGAGGCGCAGACCAGCAGGGCGGTGAGGGCGTGCTCTTTACACAGGGTGCCCGCGCCCGCCAGCGCTCCTGCACGCCGCAGCCACGCCCACCCTCCCACTCCTGCTTCGATACCTCCTCCTCCAACACCCCCTGCTCCTCCTCCTGTTCCTGTTCCATCCCCCTGTACAGCCTCCCCCACGCTGCCTGCTGCACCTTTTCTGTTGCTCTCCCAGCTAGATGGCATCACGTTGGCGCCTGTGCCGTCAACATAGAGGGCTAATCCTTTACTTCTTTCCCATACTGCTGTTCCTCCTCCTCCAGCTGTTCCTCCTCCTCCTCCTCCAGCTGATCCTCCAGCAGCAGCTGCTGCTGCTGCTAATCCATCGCTCTCTTCTGCGTTGGATGGCTCTTCACAGTCGCCCTCTATCGCCCTAGTGGAAAGAAACAGGATTACTCTGAATATGTATGTTATTCTCTCTCTTTCTGTATTTTCCAAAACAATTTTTTGATGTGTTCACCACCAACCACTTGGGCTGGACGGTAGAGCGACGGTCTCGCTTCATGCAGGTCGGTGTTCAATCCCCGACCGTCCATAAGTGGCTGGGCACCATTCCTTTCCCCCCGTCCTATCCCTAAACCTTATCCTGACCCCTTCCCAGTGCTATATAGTTGTTATGGCTTGGCGCTTGCTTCCGATAATTCCCTCCCTACCCACCGTTCCTTGTGTCGACGGCTCACACTTACAACTGTCGTCTCGCGGCAGATTGGTCCCGGGTTCGATACCTGGACAGGACAAGCTGTTTGGAAACATTTCCTTAAACCTGAGGCCCAGTGTTCCCCTAGCAGTGCTCCCCTAGCACTGCTCCCCTAGCAGTGTTCCCCTAGCAGTACTCCCCTAACAGTGCTCCCCTGGCAGTGTTCCCCTAGCAGTGTTCCCCTAGCAGTGTTCACCTAGCAGTGTTCCCCTAGCAGTGTTCCCCTAGCAGTGTTCCCCTAGCAGAGTTCCCCTAGCAGTGTTCACCTAGCTGTGTTCACCTAGCAGTGTTCCCCTAGCAGTGTTCCCCTAGCAGTGTTCCCCTAGCAGTGTTCCCCTAGCAGTGTTCCCCTAGCAGTGTTCACCTAGCAGTGTTCCCCTAGCAGTGTTCCCCTAGCAGTGTTCCCCTAGCAGTGTTCCCCTAGCAGTGTTCCCCTAGCAGTGTTCACCTTGCAGTGTTCCCCTAGCAGTGTTCCCCTAGCAGTGTTCCCCTAGCAGTGTTCACCTTGCAGTGTTCCCCTAGCAGTGTTCCCCTAGCAGTGTTCCCCTAGCAGTGTTCCCCTAGCAGTGTTCCCCTAGCAGTGTTCACCTTGCAGTGTTCCCCTAGCAGTGTTCCCCTAGCTGTGTTCCCCTAGCAGTGTTCCCCTAGCCGTGTTCCCCTAGCAGTGTTCCCCTAGCAGTGTTCCCCTAGCAGTGTTCACCTTGCAGTGTTCACCTAGCAGTGTTCCCCTAGCAGTGTTCCCCTAGCAGTGTTCACCTAGCAGTGTTCCCCTAGCAGTGTTCACCTTGCAGTGTTCACCTAGCTCTGTTCCCCTAGCAGTGTTCACCTTGCAGTGTTCCCCTAGCAGTGTTCCCCTAGCAGTGTTCACCTTGCAGTGTTCCCCTAGCAGTGTTCCCCTAGCAGTGTTCCCCTAGCAGTGTTCCCCTAGCAGTGTTCCCCTAGCAGTGTTCCCCGAGCAGTGTTCACCTAGCAGTGTTCACCTAGCAGTGTTCACCTAGCAGTGTTCCCCTAGCAGTGTTCCCCTAGCAGTGTTCACCTAGCAGTGTTCCCCTAGCAGTGTTCACCTTGCAGTGTTCCCCTTGCAGTGTTCCCCTAGCAGTGTTCCCCTAGCTGTGTTCACCTAGCAGTGTTCACCTTGCAGTGTTCCCCTAGCAGTGTTCCCGTAGCAGTGTTCCCCTAGCTGTGTTCACCTTGCAGTGTTCCCCTAGCAGTGTTCCCCTAGCAGTGTTCACCTTGCAGTGTTCACCTAGCAGTGTTCCCCTAGCAGTGTTCACCTAGCAGTGTTCCCCTAGCAGTGTTCACCTTGCAGTGTTCAACTAGCAGTGTTCCCCTAGCAGTGTTCCCCTAGCAGTGTTCACCTTGCAGTGTTCCCCTAGCAGTGTTCCCCTAGCAGTGTTCCCCTAGCAGTGTTCCCCTAGCAGTGTTCACCTTGCAGTGTTCACCTAGCAGTGTTCCCCTAGCAGTGTTCCCCTAGCTGTGTTCCCCTAGCAGTGTTCCCCTAGCAGTGTTCACCTTGCAGTGTTCACCTAGCAGTGTTCACCTTGCAGTGTTCACCTATCAGTGTTCCCCTAGCAGTGTTCCCCTAGCAGTGTTCACCTTGCAGTGTTCCCCTAGCAGTGTTCATCTTGCAGTGGTCACCTAGCAGTGTTCCCCGAGCAGTGTTCACCAAGCAGTGTTCCCCTAGCAGTGTTCACCTTGCAGTGTTCACCTAGCAGTGTTCACCTTGCAGTGTTCACCTAGCAGTGTTCCCCTAGCAGTGTTCCCCTAGCAGTGTTCCCCTAGCAGTGTTCCCCTTGCAGTGTTCCCCGAGCAGTGTTCACCTTGCAGTGTTCCCCTAGCAGTGTTCCCCTAGCTGTGTTCCCCTAGCAGTGTTCCCCTAGCAGTGTTCCCCTAGCAGTGTTCCCCTAGCAGTGTTCCCCTAGCAGTGTTCACCTAGCAGTGTTCCCCGAGCAGTGTTCCCCTAGCAGTGTTCCCCTAGCAGTGTTCCCCTAGCAGTGTTCCCCTAGCAGTGTTCCCCTAGCAGTGTTCCCCTAGCAGTGTTCCCCTAGCAGTGTTCCCCTAGCAGTGTTCACCTAGCAGTGTTCCCCTAGCAGTGTTCCCCTAGCAGTGTTCCCCTAGCTGTGTTCCCCTAGCAGTGTTCCCCTAGCTGTGTTCCCCGAGCAGGGTTCACCTAGCAGTGTTCCCCTAGCAGTGTTCACCTAGCAGTGTTCCCCTAGCAGTGTTCCCCTAGCAGTGTTCCCCTAGCAGTGTTCTAGCTGTGTTCCCCTAGCAGTGTTCCCCTAGCAGTGTTCCCCTAGCAGTGTTCACCTAGCCCCTAGCAGTGTTCACCTAGCAGTGTTCCCCTATCAGTGTTCCCCTAGCAGTGTTCACCTATCAGTGTTCCCCTAGCAGTGTTCCCCTAGCAGTGTTCCCCTAGCTGTGTTCCCCGAGCAGTGTTCACCTAGCAGTGTTCACCTATCAGTGTTCCCCTAGCTGTGTTCCCCTAGCAGTGTTCCCCTAGCTGTGTTCCCCGAGCAGTGTTCACCTAGCAGTGTTCCCCTAGCAGTGTTCCCCTAGCAGTGTTCCCCTAGCAGTGTTCACCTAGCAGTGTTTCCCTAGCAGTGTTCCCCTAGCAGTGTTCCCCTAGCTGTGTTCCCCGAGCAGTGTTCACCTAGCAGTGTTCCCCTAGCAGTGTTCCCCTAGCAGCGTTCCCCTAGCAGTGTTCCCCTAGCAGTGTTCCCCTAGCAGTGTTCCCCTAGCAGTGTTCCCCTAGCTGTGTTCCCCGAGCAGTGTTCACCTAGCAGTGTTCACCTAGCAGTGTTCCCCTAGCAGTGTTCACCTATCAGTGTTCCCCTAGCAGTGTTCCCCTAGCAGTGTTCACCTATCAGTGTTCCCCTAGCAGTGTTCCCCTAGCAGTGTTCCCCTAGCTGTGTTCCCCGAGCAGTGTTCACCTAGCAGTGTTCACCTAGCAGTGTTCCCCTAGCAGTGTTCACCTGTCAGTGTTCCCCTAGCAGTGTTCACCTAGCTGTGTTCACCTAGCAGTGTTCACCTAGCAGTGTTCACCTAGCAGTG